TGTTCATGAATAAGCCGCGACGGAGGTCGAAACGTGAGGCGAATAAAAATTTTGTTCCAGCGATCGAATCATCTTCTTCTCAGTTACTTCCCGGAACGTGCATGTCCACTTGTATTGGCAATTCCGTGGATGTTTGAACCGTGCTGTTTTACTGAAGGTTTTTCTGTGTGCATCGGCCAAAAAGCCGTGCGGTGTCTCTATGTGCTTGGGCAGTTTGAGGAGCCGAGGCATGAGTAACGATTTAGAGCAATGACTCACCGGCCACAGGGGGATGGATTCGCAAGTAGCCGATCGCAGCGTGGACAGGCCGACATCGAGTGCTGTTGCAGGGAGAGACGGTAGTCGGTGGCAGGCGTGCCCTCACCTTCTCCCCTCCCTCCCCCCTACAGTAGGTCGCACGGATGCCACACTGGACCGACACGCGGAGCAGATTCGAGAAAGGCACGCGCTAACCGAACTGTGCACCCATTAAAATGCCATCCATTATAGTATGGTGGCAGATATAGACGAAGACTTAGGCCGTGCCAGCCACATGTGTCCAGCCCCACGCCAGATGGTTTTCTGGCTCGGACAGTAAACTGATGGTCGTTATAGGGATAAGTTAGTGAGGTCAATTCTGGGGTCTACTTCCACGGCGTATATTCTTTACTATACGCCATCCGACGCACTTCCATCTATCAGAGTAAACTAAGATCAATGCCTTAGAAGGCTGCCAACTGATGGAATAACTCGGTACTCTGCTCAGGGAGAAGAGTCAGACTGGAATAGCTGCCGCCAGATGTGGGCCCGCCTATTAGCCCTTTCGACTACATATTCTCATATTTAGTCCCATACGCGAATACTAAAACTTTCCACAGGAACGCATACAACAGTTATGCGAAATGCATTCAGTTACTTTTGCCAACATCCATATAACGACTGAACGTCGTCTGTGAGAATCTAGTCCTTTTGTGGAATACGGAGAAGCCTATCTGGGAATCTAACATACAAGTATCCCAACAGTTATAAACTAGTTTATAAGAACGAAGACACTGGGTAATAAAAACAACGTGCTTTTGTGGCGTCTTACTGAAAGTTGTGGTAAGTTACTTATAATAAATTGCCTGTCTCATAAAATGTGAGTGTCAAAATTTGAGGGGGTGGTCTAAGACATACTAGAGATTTTGAAGCTGCGAAAATTCCCATCAGAAAATGTAGACGAGTAGTTGGCGAGCGTACGTAGGCTTTCCATAAATTCTCATCGGGTCATTACATTTATATCGGAAAGGAGTACAAGTTAACCAAGTGGTCCTTAATGAGGTCGCTCACCCTCTCCGCTCTGAACTAATGGCGGCGAAATCTCCCCGTCCAATGTGTGGAGGATTTCATCATATGTCTTGCCGCACATCAGTACTCTGTACTCCTATTCCTAGCACGCTACCTCACGTGTGATGAAGCGGAAATTGAGAAGTTGAAAGCTGACCTGTCGCCATAGTAGATGTGGATATCGTGTAAAACTTTAATTTTGAGTATTACATGACCTTTTACCTTTTACCATGACCCATTACTTATCCTATCCTTTGCTCTTCGTGAATTGAGCAATTTTTTGCTGAAAATTTAGGATTTTTTGTCTTAAATAAAGCAAGCATTCTATCTCTCATAATGTTTGTGGAAATTGGAGGAGAGGGGGGGATAAGAGAATGATGATTACGCGGGGAGGGTTAGGTGGAACCAATCTAGGGGATGGGGGAAGGGGAAGGGAAGAGGTGGAATGGGAGGGAGACAAAGAGAGCGCGGATGAGCACATGCATCTAAGTGGCTGTGGACCATGCCAGACGTGGAGCTTGTAGGAGGTTCTCTTCCGCACACAACGCCGACTTCCTCAGCCCGATAGCGGCCGCTTCTGCTGTTGTTAGCAGGTGCTGACCCAGAAACTTGGGA